TTTGTTGTCTGATTGCTGTTGCTAGGACTTCTAGTACTATGTTGAACAACAGTGGCAAGAGTGGGCATCCTTGACGTGTTCCTGATCTTAAGGGAATGGCTATCAGCTTTCCCCATTGAGGATGATGCTCACTGTGGGTTTTTCATAGATGGATTTTATGAAATTGAGGAATATTCCCTCTATCCCTATACTCTGAAGAGTTTTAATCAGGAAAGGATGTTGTATTTTGTCAAACAGCAGACACTTTTTAGTCCTTGGCTTAATCTCTCAACAATATTTAATTCAACTACTCCTTCCTTCTTGAAACATTCTCTTCTCCTGTATGTCATAATTGTATGTTCTCTTTCACAGCTCATCCTGTCTACCCAGACATCAAACCTTCTGCAGGACCTGGTCCTAGACTTACTTCTTCTCTGCTCTCCCCTGGTGATATCTACTCCCATGGCTTCATTTATTGTCTGCATTCCTGTTACTTCTGTGTTTCTATCTCTGGCCACGGCCTCTCTTCTGAGTCTCAGACTTGCACGCTCAGTTGCCTCTTCTACATTTCCTCTTGACTGTCTCAGAGGCACTTACCATGTTTAAGACAGAATTTATAATCTTTTCTGTCAAGCCTGCTTCTACCCCATTAATTCCAATGTTAGTAAATGGCTTAGCCTCAGACCTTGTCAACATCGCCTGCTCCACTTGCTTCTTTACTCCCACCCCACCCCACATCAGTTATTCACCAAGTCTTGTCATTTCTGCCTCCTAAATAGCTATCAGATCTGCCTCTTTTCTCCATCCCACTATCCTGGACCACCATCAGTCATGGCTAAGACTGATGCAGTAGCATCCTAGCTGGTCTCCTGTTCTGTCCCCCACCCCATAAATCCATTCTTCACACCACAGTTGGTATAAATGTTTAACTCAGAATTGATCTCCTTACTGTCCTGCTTGAAACCATGTAGTGGTTTCTCATTACTCATAGAGGGAAGTTAAACTCTTGGCATGTCTCTAAAAGCTCTTTATGATCTGGGCTACCTTTCCAGCATCATTTCATATCATTCTCCACATGGTTCACTATGCTTCCACCACTCAGGACTTCTTACAGGCCCTCTGATATCCCAGGCTATTGTGCTCTGCTTCAAGGCTTTGACATAAGCTGATTTCATCACCTGGAAAGCATCTTCTGCCCTTCCTCCATTAAGTCTTAACTTCAGTATCCCCTCTTTCTCCAGGTTTGTCCTAGCCACTTTATGCCAACTATTAAGAAGTAACTATAACACTTGGCATTTCATTAAGCTCAAAATATTTTAAAATAATGAGATCAACATCTGTCTTCCTCACTTGACCAGAAATGCTGAGGGCATAGCAGTCCAGTACAGGGATTGACTGACATACAGTGGGTACCTAATAAATTCATATTGAATGGATGAGTGAGTGTGAGTGAGTGAATGGAGAAATTAAGGCACAGAGAAGTAAACACTGTCATCCATATTCTTGACTTTACCCATTTGGCAGTCCTAGGTTTGGGCTACCTGAAATGTTTCCCTTCCTCTTTTATAAGCTACAGACTCTGCCTCTATACTGTTGTTATATTTCTAATGTTCTTTCTCTATTGATTGGAACTTGAGGAGAAACCTTCTGTTTTAGAGATAACTTAATTTTAAAAATGCTGTCTAGGGGTGCCTGGGTGGCTCAGTCGTTAAGCGTCTGCCTTCAGCTCAGGTCATGATGCCAGGGCCCTGGGATCGAGCCCCTCATCGGGCCTCCTGCTCGGCGGGAAGACTGCTTCTCCCTCTCCCACTCCCCCTGCTTGTGTTCCCTCTCTCGCTGTGTCTCTCTCTGTCAAATAAATAAATAAAAATCTTTAAAAAAAATAAATAAAATGCTGTCTAGTCTGTTGATAATAATAATAAAAAAAATGGTCACAAGGCAGTAGTCAAATATGCCCTTGTATGTATCTTTAAGTATGTGTGGACAAAGCAGAGATACATTTACTGTTTCCAAAAGTAAACTTGTTGCCCCTGTTTTCTCTTGTTTTGTTTATGTATTTTTAGTTTCTGCCTTTGCTTGAGGCATCTCTCAGAGGGCACTTTTAATCATTTAAATGCCTTTTCACAAATAAGTTCAAAAGAGTTACTTTAAAAAAAAAAAACCTCTTAAATTTGTGCCTAGGAAACGAGCTGCTTGCAAATCAGTGAATGGCTCCCACAAGTACAAAGGGAACTCCAAAGATGTCAAACCCCCGGACCTCTGGATCCATCATGAGAGACTGGAGCTGAAACCCATCGATAAATCTCCAGACCCAAACCCCATCATGACTGATACTCCAATTCCTCGTAACTCTCAAGATATCACACCAGTTGACAATTCCATGGACAGCAACATCCATCAAAGGCGGAATTCATACAGAGGTGCAGGTTGTCCCCAAATGTGGGAAAACTATTTCCATTTAAATCATTTTCCATTTCCTACAGTTGCCTGAATTTGGTGATTCCTGTGTGAGGTTAGGTTTAAAGAAACGTGTGTTGTGGGATTTGGTCAACATCTGATAAAGAATAGATAGCTTAGGGAGAAAATAGCTTGTTATGGGGGAGAGGTTCTGTACCCAGATGAGACAACCTTCTAGATCTGTTAGGTCTCTTCTCATGTGTCACCAACTATCTGATACTGAAGCATTTGGGACAACCTAGCCTATGTCCGTACATTTCATCCTCTCCCTCCATTTGGAGTCCACCTCTCATTGTGGTGTTCAAAATGTTCTTGGTCTGGATGCTCTAACTCACAAACACCACATGGAAGCATGGTGGGTAGCATTGTGTCAACTGCACTGACTCTCAACAGAGACTGCTGATCCTTTTCCTCTTTTTTCACTTCCTGCAGAAACACCTTGTCCCCATTATGTTGTTTGCGAGTCCTGAACCCCCCACTGCAAATGTTTTGCTGCTGAGGCTGCTTAGTGGCCTAGGCACATGCTTATAACTAACCTCTATATTTGATGTCTAGGGCATGAATCAGAGGACAGCATGTCTACACTGGCTGGAAGGCGGGGAATGAGACCAAAAATGATGATGCCTTTTGACTCCCAGCCACCCCAGCGTAAGTAAAAAGCCTCTCATTTCCCCTGTGCTGTCAGTCTACCCAGTCGTCCTGGGGAACGAATACGAATGATCTCTTTGACTTTACGTGATCCTGACACAAAGGATGACCCGCTGAAGCTTCGGCACCTTGAGGAGGAAATATCAAACACTTTCATATTTTGCAATTAACATTATTCTTGAGATAAATAAGCTAAAAAGCCAACTACCCCAGTCTCCCAGGAAAAGAGAAGTAACCAATCCCCCTAACAGTATGCACAGCATCTCTACAGGAGGGATGGAGAAGCATCCTTCCAACTGGAGCTGAGGATAGCCAGATATCAGTGTTCCTTAGACTTCCTGATACACATTCAATGTTGATGGGCACCTGTCATTTTTTTAATTAATGGACTTTATATTTTAGAGGATTTTTAAGTTTATAGAACGGAATTTTTAAAACAAAATTTTTCAACCTTATTTGACCATGCCTCACTTTGATAGGCATAAAAGTTACTTGGCCTCCTTTAATAATATTTGAAATTCAAACTAAGTTAAATATCATGATTGAAAACCAAAAAACAATGAATAAACAAACCAATTCTTTTGTTCAGACTACTATGTCTTCTCCCTTGTCACTGTTTTCAAGGTAGGGAAGCTGTTCAGACTGGCTAACACGGTGGGGCTTTCGGGAAGAGTCCCTTGTGCCATCCTACAGTGAAAAAGCCACCTGCCTACTGATAGCAAGTTTTTTCAGTTCTCTACCAGAAGTATTTGCTGTAAGCTGAACAGATGCCCAGTAAGCCTTAACACTGTCAGGTACCTAGATTCAAATCCTGAAAGCATCCACTAGATCACTTTTCAGTTTAACCTAAATGAGGTTTTGAATTTTTTATTCATTTCTTAAGATGTCCAATTTCAGAACTCTCGTCCACCTCTCTGTCGACAAGTGGCAGAGATTTAAATAATCACAGATACACTACACCCAAAGAAGTGAACCCTGACCCCCTGTACTTGGAAACAGGTGAAACACCCAGGTGTGTAAATGCATACACACACACTGTCACACTCACCGTGCACAGATATGTAGGCACTAGATTCTAAAAGTCAGCTTTGAAAGAGAAGGGGCTGATTCATTAGCAGGTCATTTCTGCACTAGGGACCGTGATGAAAAAAGAAAGGCCTGACCTTAGAAGCATGCAGGGAAAAACATGGTTTTCCTCTGATAAGAGGTGTCCTGGCTGGGGTCAGGTCTAAAAACATAAGTGTCTGAAAAGAGTAAATCCATTCCAGTTGTGTTTGATGTATAGCAAGATGGTAACTTGACTGCTTGTTTGTGTAAGATTTTAGTTTTTACCTGGACTGGCTTATTTTTAAATGTTAAGGAGAAAAGATATGTTGTACCAGTTGGTATCAGTTCTTTTTTTCTCTTTTTCTTTTTTGGGGGATGGGCAAGGAGTACACATAAATAAACAGTATTATTTAATTTGTGCCTCAGTAGTTGGGCGAGTGAATGGAATCTTTAATTCAAGAATCTGAAACCAGGTATTCCGATATACTTATGACCTTCAGGTTTTGAGATCTCCTTTTCCACACGTGGCTCCAGTCCTTTTTCTCAAGCTGGGGGTTCCCTGGAGTCTGTCCCACTATCCACCTGCCTGGCCTTCAGCAGCTGAGCACTGCTGGGAGAGAACTTGCCAGCATTGGCTGAGGTTCAGTCAGCCTTGTACAAGGCTTTGCTCAGAAGCCCAGGACCCAGGCAGCTGACAGCCAGTGACTGCCAAGCGTATTCTAGGGAGCTGCTTTCACATTGTCTTCTTTTTTATTTACCCAATTTGGAAAGACTAGAAATGCCTTTAAAAAGAGAAAGTCAGTTTTATTTTTCTGTGCTAGAGTCCTGCATACCTAGAATGCTTTTCAGGTTGTATTTCCTAGGTAAAAGTCAGGAGGCTTCTTCTGTTCCCCCTGGTCTTAAATCTAGAAAATACTGATGCTGAAGCTCCCCACTTCAGAAGACCACCTTTCTTCCCTTAAAGGAGATGCTGACTCCCAGACTGCCCTGAACCTCCTCTGCCAACTTTTCCAAGTTGTATTTTATTCCAAAGGGCCACCTGAGCCTTCTGGTCTCTGAGTGCAGGGAAAGCCCCTGTTTTGTTCCCCAGGCCTGAAGGAGGGAAGGGGCAGGATGCTCCAGGGCCCTTGGTTGGTTGTGCCACCTGCCTGTCTGACAAGTGGCCAGGGCAGGAAATAACTGGAGAATAAAAGCGTCTTAGGATTTTTCTTCATCAGGCCCCACAGACGTCTAGGGAGATCCTTGGTAACAGAGACATTTAATAGACTCCAAAGGCTATGAAGTTTTATCACAGTGTGTGATGCCTTTGCTTAGAGGGAAAAAAAAGGTCCCCTGTGTTCCTAGTCAGCCCCACCTCTTTGCCTCTTTGATGGGTTTAGAGCTGTCCATGTTGGTCTTAAACATTCTGTTTCTAGAACTACTCTAAGGGAGTACCTAAGAGAAGCTTATTCCCCAACAGGGCTTCTGATTTTGTTTGTTTGCATCTCTCGGATTGATAATGAAGCCTCATTAAAGAAGTGTTTTGTCTTCTTAGAAAGTTGTATATGAAATATCTGTGTGGAAATTTGGATTCGTTAACAAAATGCAGCAAATGTAATTCCTTAGCCATTGTGGGAAGGAAGGAGGCAATTAGGAAAGATCCATTTATATTTTAAAATGTGAGTGGATGTGGCTGAGCTCCCAGACTAGAAGCAGTAAGGGATGGTGCCATAGGCCTGTGTTTCATGCTTTTCCTACTGGACAGGAGTTCAGCCTGTTTGTGTCCCTTTTAAGATGTGAAAAACTGATTAAACAGCTTCTCATCCATTCAGCTTAAATATTGCATGCCTCATTCAACAATAAGAAAAAACAACATATTAGGAATATACTTGAAGGAAAAGAAACTTCTATTTTTTTAGCAGGAGAAAAAATGAAGGAAACCTAAACCATCATTTGTTTGCTTATGGATTTATATTTTGTGACATACTCAAATAGATATTTTTAATAACTCATGTAATCCATGTTTATTGGGAAATACAGATACACCAAAAGAAGTTTTTTTTTAACTCCTGACCATACCTCCCCACAAGATAATGCCATTAACATTTCAGTGCATATTCCTCAGAGGTTTTTTCTGTGTGTGTGTATATCTATATATATAGAGAGAGAGAGAGAGCTACATGCATAGGAGCGTGTTGATTTAAAAAAATGAATGTGAAATCCATGGCTACTAGTTCCCATGCAGCCAGCAGCCACCCAGAAGCCAAGGGAATGGTCGTGCTGCATGGGAGGGGGGCGGGGCTTTGCTCTTGAACTGTGACTTGTGTATGTCCGTGCAAGCATGTTAAGCACTTCTCTGTCTTGTGTTCATCCACAGCTGTGATTAGTGCCCATCCCATCCATCCCCTCGATAACCCTCACCATCATTTCCACTCCAGCAGCCTCGCTTCTCCAGCTCGCAGTCATCTCTACCACCCGGGCAGCCCGTGGCCCGTTGGCACATCCCTGTCCCTTTCAGACAGGGCCAATTCCACAGGTGAGAGATGAGGCTCGAGCCCCAGGTGGAAAGCATTCCAAGAGTTGGCAAGCTGAAATGGGAAGGACTTGCCCCGCTTAGAAGGATTTGAAATTTTTCTGTGTTGTTTATGTATCATAACATTTCTGTTAATGACTCAAATTGATTTCTGTAAAATTCACCCCCCATTTTTTTCTCCCAAAGTTGATAAGTGCTCGGTGCAAGGTATCCTTTTAGTAAAAGCACAATAACTCTAATCACATAACCATGTCTTGTTTCATCAAGTTGCATCTTGATTCAGCCTTATTTTCAGTTTGTTTATTTCTTAATCTTCTAATCTGAACAGAAAACTCATTTGGGATGATTTTCAGACACTAGACTTTGGCCTCCGCCTCGCAGTTACTCTGTGGCTGGGAGGGTCTGTAGGGCAGCTGTAAGATAATTCTCATATTAGATCTTACACATACTTCTGCTGTGGCCCGAAGTAAGAGATGCATCCAGGGGCAGCGGGGCCAGTGGCCACATTGAATTCTGTGTACATTGTAAACCTCACATTGCCTGGAGGATTATTGACATTAGAAGGGGCTGCACAGTCATGAATCATTTCTAAAAAACAGATTGGAAGTGAGCCTAAAAATCTGCAGTTCATTTAAAGAAATACATTGCCAGGCAAACATGTACCAGTTTGGAAATCTTAAGAAATAGCATTATCAAAACAGTTTTAAGGAGGAAATAATGAAGGTGAGGAGACAGTAAATGGAACAAATACTGTTGTTCCTCATTAAATGAAAATTAACTTCCATCTTCTCAGTGTTAGGTGCAAATCTAGTAACTTCTCACATGTACAATACGTTCTTTCTCCATCATTCGAAACGTGTCTGTTAATAGTTATGACATTACTAGTAGAATTAAATTTTGCTCATTCTGGAAAATAAGGAAATTTCAAGTGAATTCCATTTTAAAAGCACCTCAAAACCTCATGCTAGAAGTTTGGGTTGCTAATAACATTCCCCCTCTCTAAGTTTTGATCAATTTGAAACATACCCAAAACATCAAATGAAGATCAAAACTTTATTAAGGGATGCCTACTAACTCCCAAAGTTACCTCTCCCAAACCTTTACTTGGTTTGGAGAAAGCCACTTAAACTTATGTCCAAAATGGACCTTCCTGCTCTCTCCCTCCAGATCCAGGTTTGGGGCCCCCTGCCTTAGGGAAAGACAGTCTACTGACAGCTGTCTGGAGAACCAAACTCTGCTTTGCAGACCTAGTCTCAGATAGAACAGGGACCAGAAAGCAGCGTTCCAAATCTGCTCTTAGAAAGCAGTTTTGGTGTCCTGATTCTGTTTCCCTGTTTTTAAGGCAGAAGAATCCCACCCACTAGGATGTGGGCCTGCCCGAGTGCATGGCAGGCTCTTCCTAGTCAGATTAGCCCCCTCCTCCTTCCTCTCAAACCAGGAGGGTGTTGAAGGTTGGCAAGGAGCAGAGCAGCCCCCACCCAGCCATGATCCAAGTGGTCCAGTGCTGCTAAAAGGTCCTTTCTCTGTGGACTTGGGCAGACAATGAAGAGAGGGAAAAGTCATGATTTGTATCACTACAGGGTTCATCACTTTAATGACCAGAGGGGATAAAGAAGGTAAACTAACGGCAGGGAAAGTCACTGAAGACAGATTGGAAACTTAGAGCAAGTATCTAAATTCTTGATGACCCAAATTCTCTCACTGTTGTATTTTCCTGGGTTTCTGGAGCTCAGTGCTGCTGAACATGTGGGCTAAGCATGACTGGGACTTGGCCAGGGCAGTCCCTGCTCTTGAGAGCCGCCACTTGACTTAGGAAGAGCACTTTCTACTTGTCCAGGCCCTCGGCCACTGTGAACTTTGTGTGTCTTAAACCCTGAGAGGTAAGTTATCAGGAAGTAGGCCCCTGAGCAAAGCAGAAATTTTAATGACAGCGTAGTTTTCCTTGTGGGCCAGCACCACGCCCTTTGCTGGGCGTAGAACATGCCCGGTACTCTCTGCAGTTACACGGCAAGGCGGCCCTGGTGTGTGGCTGCAGGCCAGGGCTCTGACTCCTGTAGGCAGCCCTATTCTCCTTTTTTACATTTCCCCCATCTCTTTGACCCTCAGAAGCGAATACATCAAAGTCAGGCACTGAGGCCGCCAGGGCAGGCCTGTGTGCCCAGAGCTGACCTAACCCGTCTGCCAATACCGGCTGACATGGTCCAGGCTGGAGTCTGCTTCTCCTGCCCCCTGCTACGCTCCCTAACCAGCTTCTCCCCAGCCCAGGATCACACAGAATAGGGCCAGCAGCTCCCCAGCTGTGGTTATGGCTGGCGTAAGCAAACACAAGACACGAGGTCCTCAGTGCACCTCCTTGAGAGGGTGAGAAGCGACGTAGGCCTGGTAGGGTTATCACAGCCAGGCTTTCCACCCTGGGGGAAGGTGTGTGAGTCCCTCAGCCCTGGGACCCAAGGTCTTTAAGCTAAGGGGTTAGCACTCATGACTGGTGTGACTCGTCTCCTGAGAGCCCAAGGGAATAGATTCAGTGATACCTCAGGTATCATTTGCTTGATACTTGATTTGCAAAGGCAGGGAAAGAGGTTGGATTTCTACAGGCTGCTCATGCATGCACTTAAAAGAGCTTATTTTCCTTTTTGAAGTGCAAGACTCTAGGAGTCAGGGGAGGCCCTCCTTTTGGCTACCTGGTGCACCCTATTTGCGCTGAGCTGGTGTCTCCAGGCCCATCCTCAGGATAGGGATGTTGGTCTGCACCAACTCACACTGTTTGAAAGGGCTTTCTCATACGGTCTCCCTGGGTCTGGGTGCTGCTTCTGCCCCCACAGGGTCAGGGGACAGGTGGTATTGGAAAAGGAAGGGCAGTATAATGGGGTAGTTCCAAGCATGGGCTAGGAGTCAGGGTGCAGGGATTCGGATTCCTGCCCTTGCCATTCTTACTGTGTCCTTGAGTGCTGCCTAACCTCCCGGCGCCTTCTGAGTTACTATGAGCATAGAATGGGCTAATGAATATAAAGCACATAGTATAGTGGCTGGCTCAGAGTAAGTACTCAGTAATTTACAGGGAAAAGAACCTTATCAATTATTCACGTCCTGTGTTCAGCACATTTCATACATCTTCTCAATCCTCACTGAATTATGTTGTTCTCCCTGTTTTGTAGGTGAAGAAACAGACTCAGAGAGATTCAGTGACTGCCAAGTTCACCCAGCTAGTATGCCAGGATTATAGTCCAGGTTTATCTGACTCCAAACCCAGTGTTTTGTCTGTCCCACCACGCTGCCTTCTGGAACAACTCTAACCCCTCCTCACATATTTGGAGATTGTCATGTTCTTCCTTAGTCGTCCTCTTCTCCAGGCTGATCTTCCCCTATTTTTTTTCTCTGGACCCAAACACCCTTCATATGGCATGCTCTTAAAGCTATTCTCAGACCTCTGGACTATTCGGTTGTCCAGGTCTCCCTTGAGCTGTGGGGCTGTTGTTCTGCTGAGGCTGTACACAGTCCCCCAAGGGCATGCAGGGCCCGTGGCATTGCCTCCCCTGTAGTAACCACCAGGCCTCGTGGGCAGATCTGGTACTTGTCAAGTGGACATGTTATCTATGACAGGCCAGTTTCTAAGACCAGCCATCAGTCAGTGAGTGATGTTTTTACTATCCTTTTATGCTTACATCTTAATAGACAATAGTCTCAGGAATCTTTATGTGCACTCCCTAGTAAATACTCACAAGAACGTTGTAAAATTGTGACCACTTAGCTGTGTGGTGAGAACATTTCAGCAGAGCAGCTGGTTAGCAAAGTTGTTTGGGACTCCTTTAGATTAGCCCACTCTCCTAGCCTTGGCAGTGGTGCTGATCCATATTGCCTTGGACTAGCACTGACCCTGAGTGCTTATTGAGCTGGTTTCAGGGGCCCTTAGAAGTAGCCAGAACCCTGGTATGTGCGTGTGTTTAATGGTAGAAGAACTGCTAACATTTAGACTTTCCTGCTGTAGAATCTGTTCGAAATACCCCCAGCACTGACACCATGCCAGCCTCCTCGTCTCAGACGTGCTGTACTGATCACCAGGATCCTGAAGGTGCTACCAGTTCCTCTTACTTGGCCAGCTCCCAAGAGGAAGATTCAGGCCAGAGTCTTCCGACAGCCCACGTGCGCCCTTCCCACCCACTGAAGAGCTTTGCTGTGCCCGCAGTCCCGCCCCCAGGCCCTCCCACCTATGACCCCGCGCTGCCAAGCACACCATTACTCTCCCAGCAAGGTGAGTGAGGACAGCAGCACCACTGGTGGGACCCTTTGGCTCTGGCTTGTGGCACAAGTCACCTCTTCTTTGAAAATAGCAAATATCTTCCAAGCTTATCCTAGCAGTGGAGAATAGCTGGAATTCGTTGCCCTGCTCAGGAAGTATATGGGCTCCCCTCCTTGGGGAGTGCATATGAACCAGAGAATAATATGGTGGGGAGCGAGGGCTGACTTTTTGAATCGTGTTTTGGGTGCAGAATGCTTGATGGTAAAATCCAGTGACTGTGGGTGTGGGCAACAGATCTAGTCCACTTAGCCTCCCCAAAATGCCTCCCTCTGTAGGGTTACTACAGGCTAGGGAAGGATCAGGGAGGACAAGACATGGAAGTAAGGGGCCCTTCAGATGGGACAGAAGTCTACTCCTCAAGTTCACATGGCCCAACAAAGTCCCCTAACCTGAAAGGCATGTTTTTCCACTTCTCCCCAATCTGTTATGATGGTCTGTTTTAGGGTAAGTCAGTGGTTTTCAAGCTTTTTGGTCTCAGGACCCCTTTACACTCTTAAAAGCTATTGAGACCATGAAGGAGCTTTTCTTTACATGGGCTAGATCTACCAATAGTTCGTGTATTAGAAATTAAAATGGAGAAAATTTTAAGCTATTTTATTAACTCATTTAAAAATAGCAAATCTATCATGTAAAGATAAATAGCATATTTTTATGAAAAATAACTTTTCAAAACAAAGATATAGAGAGAAAACTGACATTGTCTTGTATTTTTACAAATCTCTGTAATGTCTGGCTTAATAGAAGGGAGCTGGATTCTCATACCTGCTTTTGCATTCAGTCTGTTGTAATATGTTATTTTGGTTGAAGTGTAAGAAGAAAACCTGGCCTCACAGATATGAAGTTGGAAAAAGGAAGAGTATTTTTGTAACCTTTTCAGAGAACTGGATATTCTTTTTTTGATACTGTAGCAAAACACAAGAAGTTGTAGTTTCTTATAGGTTGGTAACATAATGTAACCATATCCATGAACTGTTTGTTCTCTATTCCATTAAAATCCATCTATCTTGTACTTTGAATGCATGATATCAGACATCACACATTGGTCATTTGGAAAATATTGGTTCATTAAGTTATACAGGTCCTCCAAATCTTAACACAGTTCATTATACAATATCTAAAAATACATTTATTAATATCACCAAAGTCTGTAAGTATTGGGAGGGTCTCAAGCTCTTGGTGGCACATACAAGTTTTTCAACATTCTGATTTTCATTTGAAACTTAAATTTTATCATTGGCAATAAAAACCGTCCATTGTTTTTCTTGAAGTGACTGGCTTACTTTATTTACTTTCTAGAAAATGTCTGCCAAATGCTCAAGTCTGAATAACTGGTTTGACTGTCAATCTTTCTTTGGACTAATGGTGTTTCATGACAAAAGCCACAGTTCCGCTTGTAACTCAAGCTGTCACAGATGCCCTGAGCTTCAGCCAGCCACCGTCCTGTAGTATACAAAGTACTTTATGCATACTTTCCATTTTGTCACATAGAATAAAGGATGTGTAATCAAGGTTGAGATTTCGTAAAATAATTTTTACTACTTCGTTAAGGATGACCTTAAGTTAAACTAGCTTTTTTTTTTTTTAATTGCAAGGCATGTCCGTGAATGACTTTATATTTTGCTACCACTGCCTTAATCTATGCTGAGGCTCCAGCAGTTTTACCCACTGTTGCTTTTATACCATCAGCGCAGAGGCAAAAATATCTTACTGTTATGAAAAGAGTTTTGACCTTCTAGCTTTCTTTTTTTCTTTTCTTTTTTTTTTTT